TTATATATATTAATATTAGAGGTGTCAAACTGGATCGTCGTTCGCGAACAACTCGTGTTTGGCTCGTTCGTTAAGAAACGAATACGAACAGTAACTTCACGAACAATTTCGAACATGAGCTTATTTCAAACAAACTAAATTTCAAACGAACCGAACACGAACACAAGCTTTGTTCGTTCGTGTCCGGTTCGTTTACACCCCTAAACACAACTATTTAATCTTCAATATATATGCTACTTCCACAATCTCTTTAATAATTGCTCCTCAAGTTATTCTTCCTAATTTTGTCACACATCCATTTTAACGTCCTCATCTCCATTTTGCTTATCAATGAGCAAATTATTTACTGTCTAACAATTGAATTTATATAACAAACAAAGCCAGTCATAATTTATAAATTAAACGTAGCTACTTGTGATTTACCAACATACACTTCATAATAATTGTTCTCTAAAAGCATTAGCAAATGACAATGAACATGAAACCATATGCAATTTGTGGCATTTTAGCACAAATTTTCTACCCAAATCAAAATTGTGATATGCTAGGTTTTTGAAAACAATTGCAACAAAATAAAAAATAAAAAGCAAAAGAAGCTCCTTTAGAGTCGCATGTCTTCACTACTATGTTTTACAGATGTAATTTAAACAATAAAAGCAACGTATCATAACATAACAATCCAATATCAAATAAATAACATGCTGCAAATCTAATCAGCTGGAAGTTGAAAGTATAACTTACTTGAAAATATAATTGCAATTTTTTTTCTAATAATGCTTCCATAATTGTATAAATGTTCTTTTTAACTTCAAAGCCACACTCCATAATTGGCCTTGCAAAATGGGAGCCAAAGAATAAACCTTGCAATGGATCAACTTTTGACGTAACCTACATGATTAGACATGCAATTCGGTATGTCGATATTGTGGATCCTATTTGAATAGTATTTGATAGACCAATAGGCCAATTTTAACTCAATTAGTTACTATATAGCAAACAAAATCATTTAAAAGCTAGTATGGATTCTTTATGATTTCATTATAAAAAACATACCGTCTATCATTTTCTTAGTCCAAGTTTTCCTTCTTCGTCCCCAAAGAACTCCTTCATAGATCACAACCCCCATCATCCAACTCTTTCGAAAGAGAAATGGGACGCAAAGTTCAAAATATAGATCAAAGTAGAAATCCAGGTTCACAAACAACAACCTTCCTTAGATCACATCCAATTTGGCATAGGTCTGAATTCAAAACCACATAATTGCTTATTTAAAAGCCATATAATTTCAAATATACTTGTTGTAACAATATACAAATGACAGGTTCTATAAGCCGACCTAAAAGTATTTTATATTAGAAGATTTATATACATACCACTTAATTCCTATTTATTTATATATCTAGCATCTAAACTTCAATTTTTATATATATGTCAACTTCCCCATACATGAAAATGTGTGTTTCAGTATTTAAAAGTGAAACTAGTGACATGTTTTACATGATATGAAAGATTTGGGTAGTATGATAATAAAAAGTAAAGTTTAGGTGTTAGACATGTAAATACATAGCAATTGGGTGGCATGTAAGAAATGCCCCTTTTATTTTATTTTGATTTTTTCATCCTGCAACTATAAATGAACAATATAAATTAATCTGACAAGCAAAAAGTTTCCGATAGCTGAGTTGGGGCAAGCAGCTGTTCAGCACCAAGATACATCAAAGTGTTTTATACATTCAAACAATTAATTTTATTCATCTATAAGTTCTACAAGATCTCAAACAGGCTGATGCCAGAACAGGTAACTTATGAATATGTGCATCAAGAACAATAACCGAGAGAATTAAAAGAGGCAATTTACTTTGTACTCTAGTAGATCCACAATCGTTCTCCGACATCTTAAATTCATCTCTAACCTTCTTTAGTTCCAACTTCATTTTCTCACCTGAAGACATATGATCTGGATGAAAATACTGCACAAAAATGAAATAAAATTCGTAAGTTTATAAGTTACATCCATGAACATTGGTAAAAAGTCAATAATATTCGATAGATACACACATTTTGTACAAGGTGCTCCTGAGGAGGATTAAGCATGAAAGTTTGCGTTCCTTGACGGCCCAAGTTGGTGAACAAAGAGAACCTTTGCACTGCTCAGATGCAAAACAAGCATCAAGTTTTCAGTGCTACAGATCAGAATGCAGCACAGAATAGTATGAACATATTGAAAAGAGAAGGAAATACTGACTATTTGCCTTTTTAATGGCATTTGAATCCTTGAGCCTCTGAAGGCTCTCCCTGAGATCTCTAATGGATACTCCACCCATCTTGGATTCTGTCTCCTTCTCCTCCAACTCCCTAAGCTTTGCGAGCCTCTCATTCAATTCAGTAAGTGAAAACCACTCCCCCTTTTTCCCATCCTTTTCCGGCCTTAGTCTCTGCAACTTCTCTCCAAGTTCTTCATAACCATACATCTTCACAAACTCCGTCCTCAGAACTTTTGACTCCCCTTCTTCCCCTTCCCCCTTCTTCTCTCTCCTCTCTTTCCCAAAAATCGAATCAGGTAACTTGTCAGTGCCGATGAGTTGTGGACCCCTCCCACTCTCCCCGAGCCCCTCCCTCACGCCATCCTGGAAAGCTCTGATGTTGAAGCTGGAGCTCCGTGCTTGGCCCTCAGTTTCACGGGATGAAGCCCTGAACTTCTTGAGGCTCTCCCTGATTGAATCGAATGGAAAAGCCTTTCCAGCATCGGGACCAGTGGTTCCGTCACTGGAACTGGGTTTTCCAAAAACATTGTTCTTGAGAAGATCCTGGAACGAGAGCGGAGAGCCGGAGGAAGGGCGGTCACCAGAAGCAGACCCGCCGGATTTAAGCCGGAATTCGGCGAGATGTTTTCGAATCTCCTCGAGGGAAGCGGCCGGCGGGGACTTAGTGGCAGCGGAAAATGCAGGGGGAGGCGGGGGATCTCTGGGAATGCGGCGAGGCTGTGCTGGAAGGGACTTGAGCCGCTCCTTAATTTCACTAAAGTAGGAAGTGTAGGAGGGAGGAGATGTAGGTGAAGATCCACTAGTTTCTGTGCGATCAGACGGAAGAGAATCGCTATCAACGGATGAGTCATGGTCAGGTGGCAGAGGGGAGGGCGAGGAGGAGGAGGACGAAGAAGAACAGAAGCATGGGAGAGATCGAGAAGTGGGGCTTATTAGGGTTCTCGTTTGGGGTTTGAGGTGGCGAAACATGGTCCCGCCCTGAGTAACGTCTAGGGCTCGGCGACGGAGATGCAAAGAAGAAGAAGAAGAGCGGATCAGCCGGTCATTTAGGCCTAACCGATTTAGGTATAGAACCGGCCCGGTTTTTTTTTTTCTTTAATCAGTGTTTTTTAATGATTTACCTCAATTTTAATGATTTCGCGTGATGGAGGGAAAAAAAAAAAAAAAAAAAACTTTATTATGGCAAAACTATTAAATTTAAAAATACCATCAACATTTTTCAACTACATTTGGGTCAGCATTGACTCTTTTTAATGTTTTTAAAATTTTTAGTATTTTCCATAGCAGTTTTTGAAAAAATTATATTTCACGTCTCGGCTCATTGGTGCGGCCTCTGGCGTAAGTCCCTCGGGTCGGGGTCGAGAATTTGAATCCCATGGTGCGAGCTCTTCAGATCAATTAAAGCACACCTGAGTTTCGACCTAACTGGGGGAAGCGTTATTTGGAGCCCATTAGACCAAATAATGATTTCCTTTTAAAACAAAAAAAAAAATCATGTTCAAATTGTCGATCGTCTTTCTATAAGCTTTATGAAATCTTCATACAACATTGATTGAGTTAATCTTAATTCTTCTTTTAAAATACTTCTCTATTAAGTAGCTACCAACCTTATGAATGAATGTTATTATTTAAGAGAAAGACTTCCAAAATAATTCACATCTAACTAATTAGATTCATCTTTTAACTAATTTGAATTAACTTAAAAATCAAATTAATTTGATAAAATTTTTCATTCATAATTTGGACAGAAACTTACATTCTCATGACCAAATGAATGATTATAAATCAAGTAAAAGAAAATTTGGTAAACATAAGAGACTATTAAATTATTGTTATAGACTTATTAGTTAAACATTGGAGATATAAAGTTTATTGTCTTGCTAAAAATCTCAAAGTTGAAAGCAACTATTACTATTTTATTCACATAACTTGCAATAAATTGTAGGAATAACATACTTAATACCTAGAAATGATTAGAAAACATAAGTTGTAAGTTAATAATGTCTCATCAACCCTCGTCTAGACTTGGCATCAGCAATAATTTACGAATTTTTTGAAGATGGAGATCTTATTATTTGTTAATATGACTTTTTATATGTGCTTCCCATATGTTGCTAGTAATTACATGTTATTTGACATGCCTTTGAATTCTTTCTCAATTGTTACATGGAATTTGGGAGTTTCCATCATGGATTTATATCTCACTATTTTGACCATCATGTTGCATCTCAATTGATTATTAAGTTATATATCATAGATAGAGAATAATAATTTTTTTTACAATACTACACAAACAATCACAATATCTATTGAAGGAATAAAAGAATTTGACACATGCATTAACATTTGAAATATTTCTTTTTCAAATGTTAAAAGTTCTTTCAACAACATTGTATAATTGAGCATGTTGATGATTATGTAATTCATTTTCCACTGTGAATCTTCTAAGGGCACTAACATAAAATTCATTTTAGTGATAATGATAATCTCTAGAGATATAAAACCAGGATCTATTAAGTAAAATTTTTCATGTGGTAATCCTAAATCTATCTCAGATACTAACCATTACAAGACCCTCAAAGCGGATAATTAAGACTACAAATATAATTTCTGAGAAGTAAAATCATTATTAATGTAGTATTTATTTCTCCTCCGCTCAGTCCGGTGCATCGCATCTGTTGCCCGAACGTAGCTTTGAGTCTGGACTCTAGACTCTGAACTCTGGACTCAATATTTTTTCCTAATTCTAACACAGATAAGGTTAACAACTTAATAGAGTTTTAAAGTTGTTGATGCTAAAATTAATATTATCGTTTTGTATAAAATGTTACATTTGTGTTTTATTAAACAAAATATTATAAATGCAACTTTATGAGAAGTAAAATTTTTCATGTGGTAATCCTAAATCTATCTCATATACTAACCATTACAAGGCTCTCAAAGCAGATAATTAAGACTATAAATATAATTTATGAGAAGTAAAACCATTATGAATGCAGTATTTATTTCTCCTCTGCTCCGCCCGGTGCATCACATCTGTTTCCCGAACGTAGCTTTGAGTCTAGACTCTGGACTCAATATTTTTTCCTAATTCTAACACAGATAAGGTTAACAACTTAATAGAGTTTTAAAGTTGCTGATGCTAAAATTGATATTATCGTTTCGTATAGAATGTTACATTTGTGTTTTATTAAACAAAATATTATAAATGTAACTTTTTTTAAGATAAAAGATTAAAATATTTGTCGGCTATTAGTTTTACTTGAACAAGTTTAAAATTAGAAAATTATTACACAATTAGCTTTTTAAATTGAAACAATCATCAAATTTTTAATACATTCTACTTATTTCTTTTTTAATCAATATTTTTTTGTGAAATAAGAGTTACTATTAAATCTTTATTTCATCCACTTCAATGTTGTATTTATTAAGCTCAACAATTTCTATAAATATATATTTTTTGGTTAAATAATTTTGATAGGATAGAGGCAAGGACATAACCAATATCTTTTTTTTTAATGGAAGACAAACTGCCCCCTAGACCAAATATGGAAGAGGTTAAAGCAATGAAGAGCAAAATGATATTTCAGGAGGGACAAAACTGATATTTTGGGAGGGGCAAAATACCAAATTACCCTCCCTTGTAAGTCTGGATACATGATTCCTTAATTATTGTATTAGGTTGAATAGTGTAATTATGTTAAGTGATGTAATTAGTTACGAGCTTGGAACTCTTGTAATCTATAAATTCTTCCTACTTTAAATATTCATGGAATGAAATGAAAATGTAATTAATTTTTTTAATTTATGTAACGTTAAATCTTTTATGAGAGTAATTCACAGCCTCCAAATTATCATTTATCAACGTCAAAGAAGTGGGATTCATATCAAATACAAAGAAGTTCTCCAAAAAAACATTATAACAATTCGATACATGAGACATAACAATTAAGGCTCTGTTTCGAGTAGCTGCAGCTTCTCAGCTTTTCAGTTGCACCTGCGCTACCCCAAGAAGCTGCTGCGGGGAAACTGACTAGTTGTTTCTTGCAGCTCTCTGAAAACAGCTGACAGTTGTTGGTCAGTTGTTTCTCGACAAAAGATCATGGTGTCTTTATATAGTAACGCTGTTTGTAACAAAATATAAAATAATTTTTTTATTAAACAAATTATATCTTAAATAATAAATTAACGTTAATGATAAATTAATTATTTTTATCAAATAATTTAAAACTTAAAAATATGTTTATAAATTAATTAATTAATCATTAAATTATATCATATAAATTTATCTAATTATTATTAATTTGAAAATATATGAATTAATCATTAATTATTAATCAAATTAATAAAATTTAAATTTAAATAAAAAGAAATTAAAACCATAAACCCATCTCTACCTTACCCTCTCCTCGACCTCCTCCCATGCCGAAAACCCTCCCTTACGCTCCCCTCCCTCCCCTCCCCTCCCGGTTTCGTCCAAAACCATGTCCTTCGTGAACGAACCCTCGACATTCTTCATATTCGTCGAACGAAATTGGGACAACAAAGGCAAGGAAGGGGCTTTCGGCTCTGTCTCGTCAGGGAGGATCGCAGCTTACTCGTAGGAGGATCAAATAGGGAGGGCCTTCGAAAGGCTTTGTCACATCAGTGAGGATCGCAGCTTGCGCGTAAGAGGATCAAGCAGGGAGGGGCTTCGAAGGCGAGGAAGGGGCAAGGAAGGTGCTTCAGCTCTATCGCATTAGAGAGGATCGCAGCTTGCGCGAAGGAGGATCGAGCAGGAAGGGGCTTTGAAGGCAAGGAAGGGGCTTTGGCTTTATATGTTGTGATTCACTCGTTACTTTTCCCGAAGGCGGAAGAGGGTAGGGGTACAATAGAACGTTCCCCACGAATGTGGAAAGCGAAAGCTGGGCCACGGGGTCGATCACGCGGCCGACTTTCCGCACATTTAGCTTCCTTCGGCCACGAAGCTGGGAACCAAATGGGAAAATTTTGCGGTTTGGGGCCGCGCTGCGTGAAAAAAACGTCCCCAAACAGAGCCTAAGTAACTTGATGCGCAAAACAAATTGTAAAATACCAATTCTTTCCGTTTCTTTTAATGTTAATTTTTGATAAAATATTACATATTTTCTATCCATCATTGCAAAAATAAAATGAGCATCTCATTTCAAATAATTGCTAACTAACTTTACCTTCAACATAAATAAATAATAATGATAAATGTTCTCTCACGTTGAATAAAATATAATAACTGTATAGTTCAATACTAAACCAAATATATATATATATATATATATATATAAATTGATATTAAACAAAAATTATGTCTCACATTAAAATGTATTTGAAATTTCAATTACAACTAAACATCTGAATAATACATACCTTGCCCTTAAATTGCTAAGAATCGAGTGAGTTTACATCTAATTTTTGTTATGGACCCTGAAAAATAAAAACAATAACATAAATTAAAAAATACTTTTAAATTTTTGTTCATAAATGATGTAAGTAGTACTATTAAAATGGATAAAGACATGTAATAGTATATAATTCACCCGTAGAAATTATATAATCCGATAGTATTGAGTCCCCATTTGTCCGTGAATCACACCCAAAGGAATAGACCCTAAGTATGAGAGAGAGAGAGAGAGACAGAGAGAACAGTCATGAACAATAAATTGTATTAATTTTGTTAACATTTTCTGTTCTTTTTATTTTATTTATAGTCCTCTGTTCAAGAAATGATGATCCCCTTATTTATAGTAAAAAGAGTACAATATAGTAATATTACACTTTTACCCCAGTTGTACATGTTATTCTTAATATTTTATAGATATAAGCATATCACTCTGCTACTCTTTGACTCGGTCAACTAAAGCTTGCTTGGCTTCGGGTTGGCAAGGTTGTTTCAGTCAGGTTTGGTCAACATGTTGTCGACCGAACTTTATTGACTTTGGATAGAAAGAACTGGCTCAGTCGGCCAATCTAGCCTAGCTGTCGACCCTTGATAATGAATCGGGAACTTCTGGACGTCCCCGATATAGTTAGAGATCTGAGGAATTTGGTCCAATTGCTTGCTAATAATGTAGAAAAACATTCTGTTTAGGCTGAAGAGGAAGACATTTGGAAGGACATCAAACAAACTAGGTTCAATCACACTAAACTAGGTCCAATTGGACCGAAGTTTTGGATGGAATCACTACACCTATTGAATCGTTTAATAGTAAAGAAATATGCCAAGTAGCTAGAAATAAATTGGTATTATGCTTATTCGTTGGATCGGAATCTAGACTCTCCTAATAAATTCAAGCTAGTTTGTCTTTGTCAAACCAATTACAAGATCCTAACCAAATTTCTCGCTCATATAATCTCGAAGGAGCAAGACATTTATCCTAGAGCATTCCGTCTTTACTCTTAGCCTCCTCGCTCGAGAAGTCCTTAATAAGTTTAGAAATGTGATGGCTAGATCACGACATATGGCTCTCAAGATTGATAAGGTGCGGGCTTCTGACAAGATGAACTATGTTACACTTAAGGGCCATTTTGAACTTCATGAATTGCCATACCAAAATCAAGGATTGGGTGTTAAATTGTTTCATGAATCCAAGATTCAGTGTGCTTATCAACGACAAAAGAACCAATTGACTTTTTGATTCAACACGAACAGCTTGGCCCGTATTATTAATGTTCAGACGCTCGAAAATTGCGAAGTTGCAGTTCTCATTAACAATGACAGTTGGAACCAAACCAAAATTCAGCAGATATGTGATGAAGAACTTGCTAAAAGGATTGAAGAGGTCTTAGTCTAAAATTCTCAGTAAAGAACTAAAATGAGATAGGTGGGGGTATACACTAGTGAGACATTTTTTTTTATTTCATCTTATCCTTTTTTTGGAAATGATGAATGGCATGGCTACCTCAAACATTTAAAATTAGAAAAAAATTATAATAATAAAGGATAACAAAAAAAGGCTATTAAGGACTTATTTGACTTATGCATTTAAAATTTATGGGTATTTTAAACAAAACATTAAATAAATCTAATGCAATTAAAAATTTTCAATATTATTTGGTTGGTTGGAAATGAAATTTACAAAAATGCATTTTCCTTTTTTATTAAGTAAAAATAGATGAGATTAATCTAGGACAGAAATGGAGGCCCAACGATGATGAAGATGACAAAAACAACTATATGGTTCATGAGATTAGGCTTGGGGTTATGCATCAATTGTAGGTACAATGTAGCATGCAAACAAATAGTGGTTCCAGGCTCAACATTGCATGCTAGGCTAATGACATATCTGGATTTGAGAGGACACAATGAGTCATGGGTTCCACATATGAAGACAATGATGCATGCAACGACATATTGTGTGCCGCGAGCTTGATGGCAAGGAAGGATGATTTACGTGAGACGGCTTGCCTACAATCATAGGATGAACGCACATTTATGTATTCAAGGAAAGCTACATACACCAGACATCTCAATTAAAGAAAAAATTATAATGAAAGGAAGCATTATTGTAGAGCAGATTATTATCACTACCTGCACATGTTTTTATACCAGTTATCTCCCTAAATGAAAAGAAAACATACTGTATTCGACTTCATATGTTGACCTCACGAACATCGTTCTGCCCAAATGGAGTTCCGCAACCAGGGCACTTCCTATGGCGGATTTCCAGATTTCTTTGAATGCAGGGATTGCAAAATAGATGAAAGCATTTAGTGATGACCACCTACAGATAAAAAGGCGAAAATATGATGACTTGTTTGGTCATAACTGATTTCCAGGCAAGCTTACATGAATATTAGAGCAGTCTCAAAATAACCACACTATTCATGTTCGGCTCTTTAAAAAATTCATGTTTGAAATATTCGTTAAATGAACAGAACACAACCAAAAATTTTGAGCTAAATTTATGAAGGAGCTAAGCACACACTTGTGTGATCATCTTCACCCCTTTTCGACTCGAAATAATTAATATTTATTATTATTCATTTTATATATTTGTATTTGGGGCATTTTTACATATACAGAACCCAATCAAATAAAAAAAAGCACTATTATCATTTTTTTAAGTGAAATGCACAATTTCATGCATTAGGATTAAAGCACCAAAGTGCTATGTATGTTAATATGAAAGTTTATGTGTGAGAAATGTAAAAACACAAGAATTGTGTGCTACATATGTAAATTTCTTATATAGTTCATAAATTTGTAATAATTTTTTTTTTTTTTTATATTTTACCAAAAATTTTAAAATTTAGTTTTTGAATAATTTGAGCTTTAATACGAGCAACACATAAATCTACAACTTCAACTGAATCAAACGAGAGCATGCTATACACGATCAATTTTAAACACAGGCCAGTTTCAAATAATTGAATTTTCAAAAGAGCAATGAGCTTGCTGAAGCTCAGGAATAGGGAAACCAATTTTCCTTAATGAATTATGAAAGGAGAAGACTTTGTAACTTACCTCCTTTGGGCGGTCAAAACAAACACCACATTTTAGTATTGCCTTGCACTCCTTGATCTCATCCTGGAGCTTCTGAATGGCCATCTCCTGCCTTTCAGGGCTCAGCTCCATGACTTCATTCTTCAGTTCATCATATTCTTCCTCAAGCTTTTTCCTCTCACTCCTGTATTCGGTATAAGACAATGGAAAAGAATTGATAATGTGTTTTAAAACTAAAGAGATGGATGAATGCACCCAAATGCCCAAATAACCTTTCCCTCTCTAACTCCATCCTCAAGTTGAGGATCCTCTCCTGGTTGCGTTCATGCTCCTTCTTGGTGGAATCGACAGCAGACCTCAGCCACTTCAGCTCTTTCTCAGAATCCGCCAGCTCTAGTTTTGTTTTAGACATGGTGATGGCAATCTGCCTGTTCTCAACGGAAGTTTTGGCAGCTTGTGCAAGCAATGATTTTATCTACAGAAGTTAAAGCAATTTGGTTAAGTGATGGAGAAATAGGATGTAGGTGAAATAGGATGCAGGGAATTACTACAGGGGAAAGCATAGAACAAACCCGATCATCAGTATCAGATAATTTGGATTTCAGTGACCCATTTGATGTATTGAGCCTCGTAAGCTGCTGCATCTTGGTATTCTTATCAGAGAGAAGGGAACTATATGCTTGTTTCATCCTCACACTATCAGATACTAACTGCCATAAATGTCAGAGAAATAAAGCTATGGTACTTCATTGTCCAAAATTACAAATCTCTCAAAAAGAAACAGCATACATTGACAAGTAACAATGCAATAGAAGAAAAAGTTATCATATGGAATTCTCTTTAGTTTTGAAGCATCATATGGCACCGATGATGGGATAATGAAAGGAATATAATTTCAAGATGAGTGAGTTGTTAAAAAGGAAATATAAGAGTGAAATTACTTTATTAGACAGAATTTAAGGATTGCACCTACTAGAATGAAAGGCACAAGATACAGCAATATTATGAAAAAAAAGGGTAAAGCCAAAAATAACAAAACTGGATGTTTGGTAAAAAGAGAACGTAAAAAAAGAATTTTAAAACCAGATAGGATGAAGATTCATGATGTCAATTCTAAATAAATGGGATAATGTTGATGATGATTCGTATAAATTGTTTACAATTAAAATATACTATAATAAAAATTTCAAAAAAAAAAAAAAACAATTATGCTCCCATTCAATCTAATATTTCATAAAATAAAAAATGTAGACCAATACATATGAATAAAACTGACTGCTCTCTCTCTCTCTCTCTCTTTCTCTCTCTCTCTCTCTTACTCAAGAAAATGAAAAAAAAAAGAAAGAACTCTCATAGAGAGACCAAAATATATAATGAAGCAGAGATGATAACTCCATAGAATCTTACGCATGCAAACCTAAAAAAATCACAAACATTACTTACATAAGAAGACTAAGAACGTCAACAAGAATATACTGAATATCAATAAGCAATTGCTTATATGATATGATTTATATCTATATCTATATATATATTTATACATATATACATATATATATATATACATATATTTATATACATATATACATATATATATATATATATTTGAAAAAAGCCCAAGGGCTAATATATTAAAGAGAAAAGATACAAATAAGTTGTATGAGTGGGCCCAAAAATAGGCACCCAACTCACACATTACAACACACAAAAAAGTCAAAAAGGGTACATAAAAATCAAAAAATCCAAAACCACAGGGTGCGGAAAAAGAGAGGATCATCCCAATTTAGTCCTGCCCCTGCCTCTGGTTCTTGTAAGGGATCCAACTAACAAATTGATAAGTTGCGTACCATTACCCGAAGTAACCAAAGAATCATCCATAACATTCCTGAGCTCAAGTATATCTCAATTCTTCTTCTTCCTCCTGGAAGTGTAAACCTGTTATTCTTCATCCGAAGAATCAGTCTGATAAAGTGGTAGAGCTGTAGCAGAAGGAATACCAACCGTAGTACCCACAATAGGTTCTAGTATATGTGAAGTATGAGTTGCCTCTACACCGGATACTTCCTGAAGATGGGGAGCTGCGAGGTTCTCCTGATTATCAATCTGAACACTACCATTTGTAGGTAATAGTCCTTCAGTATTGTTTTCTATGGAGTTTGAAGGTATAAACATCACATCAATCACAGTAACAGTAACAGTAGTGTTAGGTGGGTCCATAGGGGCAACAGACACCTCCTGTTTGGTTGCATCCTCCCAAGATGGAACTAAAATGTCCAAAGTTGTGGGGTTAGACCCATCCTTATTCATTTGAACCTTGGATTTCAAATTAAGATGGAGCTTGTGGCATTTATCAAAGGTATGCCTAAACATCTTACAGTGAGTACAATATGGAGATCTGTGTTTCATGATGATTTATTGTCAATATCCAGTATGAGTTGTGTCCAGCCAGACTTTAGTAACATTAGGTAAATTAAGATCCTTTTCCACAAGTATTTTTGCCACAAAAGGTCTGGTTAGATTGAAAGTGGGTAGATCTAGCTTCATAGGGCCCCTACGGATGGCCACAATATAGTACAGAATCTGATGATGAAAAAAGTGTAGCTTGAGACTAGGTAGGCTACACCATACCAGTACAGTGGGAGTTTCATGATTTGAGTCGAAATCATGAGACCACTTGAGTAACTTAACTGATTTGTCTGTGATAGTAAGATATTTCTTGGAGAAAATTCAAGTGTACACTTCAGCCACGATTAGTTGAATCAACACATGTCCCCCATTCATGAGTCTCACTTTCCACTTGTCTACTAGTTTAAAATCATCAACTATCTTTTTAATAACTTCCATAGGTGGGTGCACCCACTGAAATTTTTCAATAAGAGCAAACTTGAATTTCTCCATCAGGGTTAAAATTTCTAAGTCGGAGAAAAATATTGCATTTTTCCCACATTTTCTACCTCCCTTGTTAACAAAAAGGCAATCATCTGTACCATCGCAACAATCCTTATAGCTTGAGGGGAAGACAAGCGCGGACTCCACCTAAGGGTTACCCACCATGTGGGCAAAGGAAGTTTTGTCTGGTTCAACCAAAGAAGAAGGGGGCACCATCAGAGCAGGGAGATCTGTCGGCGTTCACCTGCTGTGAGGTCCCTGACACGCAGGCAAAACGAAGTTGTCGGGCAGGGAGAGGCGCAACGTCGAAACATAAAACGACGCAGACGCAACAGACGCCGACACGAGCTGCAACAGAATCTGCGACAAAAACCAACGAGACGCCGACACGAGCCAACGACGTAGAAGAGACACAGTAACGTTGGGACGAAGCAGAAGATGAGGAGGGAGAGTCAACGAAACATATGCGAGGTGCGAGCCCTCTCCTTCGAGCGGCATAATCAAATGCGATGGAAATCGGCATTGGAAACCCTAGCAGATCTCTCGACCGTAACCGACATCGTAGCACATGTATGACTATATATATAAAA